GCTGATCTTCACTGAGGCTTACAATTCTAACGTAGCTTTTTGAGATGAAGGACGCAGAAGTACAGACGGTATTCAACAAATTGTATGCCACTCATCTCTGAAATTTTAAGGCGTTTCTACTGTCTCGTATGCATGCCCAAATACATGTGAAAAAAACACGCAGATGAATTTCTACCAGTAGCATCTAAATCTTTGTGCAATTGCTCAAAATCACGAAGCAAGGCTGATAAAATGAAACCAGCTATATATAGCATGCTGTAAATTTCTCTCGTTTTATTTTTTGTTTTGCAAATTTTGGGTAACTACTTTCTTTTACAGTCATATCTAAAGTGAAAAGTAATAAAATAGTCTTAAAAAAAAAAAAAACCAACAAAGTCAAGTTAAAACTATGATTTAGGATTAGAGTGCCTTTGAATTTAACTGAGCACTCACTTGCATTTTATGACCTTGCATATAACTTGTTAGAATTAGAGCCTAAGCTGCAAAGTAATGGTGTACAAACCAATGTAAGAGCATGTACTTTAACCAGCGCCCAATTCATAAACTTTTTGTGAACCAAAATGACTACTTAGAGTTCTAGCTTTAAATGAAGAAGTTTATCTTGGTATAACTTCCCGGAGTGGGTATAACAATATGATTTAGTACACTTGCTATCAACGCTAAAAAGTGACATTTAATATGCCTGGCTATATCCACCGTGTTGGACTTGGAAAAAGTGCCATTATACATATCAACTGCTCTAAATCATGTTGCTAACGGCCTACTGTCAGACACTCCAACAACCGCTCTAAAAATAAAACAGGCAAAACAAGTATGAATACTTTGTAACTACTGACATTTGGCCACTTAGGCTACGAAGTTTGCTCTCATGCCCTCCCCCAAACTATAAAAACAGAATTCAAGCATGCAATACTCTTTAAAAAATTCCTTTCTTAAATTATCAAGTCGAAATACAAAATTATTAAACAAAAAACACTAACAAAAATCAAAATGTTTCCTTCCAAAAAACACCAGAGCAGGATGTTTTGAATTCAATTCAATACCCGTTTCCGCTTTTCCCAAAAAACAAATTCAAAATGAACACTTCTTATAAGCCGGTCTGAATTTGAAAAAGAGTTTTCTCCCTGAAAGCTTCTAAGACACACACACACACCATTGTGCTTTTTGTATTTAGACAGGCCAGGCCTCACAGCACTTCGGCCCTGAGACGTGCATAGAAGTTACTGTCAAACAAGCCCCCCTGGGCCAACTGCCCCACAACACCGGTCCACAGGCACACACTTCCCCACGGGGAGTGTGAGGGACCGCCCAGAAGTGCGCGCACCTGCTGTGAGTTACCAAGCGCCTGGGCGCTCCTGGACCAGCCCTCAGCCAACCGTTATTTTCCCACCCCAGCACACGTTACAAGTAATCACGACCTGAGCGCCACTCCGAAAGCACCGTTGACAGACGCTTACCTGGGGCACCAGCGCACATTTTAGTTTATGGCCAGGCGCGCCTCGGTATCGGGCCTGCGAG